TGTGTGTGTGTGGCCAGTTCAGCCTACCAGGGGGCGGGGCTGGCTGGCATGTGGTGCTGGGGGATTGAACCGTGGTCCCTGTGCTCTGCTAAGCTTGTTCTAAGTAGGTGCTTTAGACCACTGAACCATCTCACCAGCCCCTATGTTGTAACTTTTTGATTTCCATTACTCTTTCCAGTTCTCACACTAGTGAAATAATACGGTGTTTGCACATGTGGACCTGATTTATTTCACTTACCAATATAGTCTCTTCACTTATCAATATAGTCTTCAACTGCGTACATACATCTACAAAAGCCTTAAATTTATCTTTTTTATAACTGAATAATACTCCATTGTGTAAAAATACCATATCTTTTTTACCCATTCCTCAGTTGATAGGCAGAGGGGTTGTTTCCAAGACTTAGCTACAACAAATTGTACTGCCATGAACATGGGGGCATATATATCACTGTGGTATGATGATTTCAGTTTTGTTTTTTTTTTGAGGAACTGGGGATTGAACTCAGACCCTTGCGCTTGCCAGGGAAATGCTTATTCCACTGAGCCATCTCCACACCCCCATGATTTCAGTTCTTTTGGAAAAAATACCTAAGAGGGGAATGTCTGTTTTGAATGGGACCTCCAATCCTAGCTTTCTGAGGAGTTTCCACACTGATTCCCACAATGGTTGTACCAGCCTGCACTCCCACCAGCAGTGGAGAAGGGTTCCCTTTTCCTCACAGCCTCTCCAGCATTTGTTATTGGTTGACTTCTTGATGACAGCCATCCTTTCTGGCATAAGATGGTATCTCAGCAGTGTTTTAGTTTGCATCTCTTGAATAATCAATGATGTTGAACATTTTTTGCATATATTTATTTGCCATTTGTATCTCTTCATGTGTGAGGTATATATTCATCTCAGATGCCCATTTTTTGATTGGGTCTTTGATTTTCAGAGGCCTGAATTTTAAAATTTCTTTATATGTTTTAGATAGGAGCCCCTTATCTGAAGGACAGTCTACTATAATTGTGTCCCACTTCATGGATTTTCTTTTTACTCTGTTGGTGATTTCTTTCAACATGCAGAAACTTTTCAGAAAGATGAGATCCCAGTTGTTGATTCTTTGAATTGTTTCCTACGCAGTTTGATTTTTGTTCACGAACTGTTTACCTACTCCTATGTCCTTAAGGTTCCTCTGTAGTTTCTCTTCCAGAAGATTTAGTGTTTCAGTTTTAATATTTAAATCTCTGATCCATTTTGACTGTAGTTTTGTGCATGGCGATAGGCATGGGTCTATTTTAAGCCTTCAGCCTGCGGAAAGCCAGTATTTCCAGCACCATTTGTTAAAGAGAACACTGCCAGTCTTAATGTTCTGCAAATGGTGCCCCAAGGAAAGGGGTGAAAGAGTGCTCAAGATGTTGTGCTACATTGGTCGGCTGGCTTTCAGTCACCCAAGCTCTCACAGTCACCACTGCAGGAGTTGTGCTGGATGCATGCATACTCTGTTTCCTTTGGAGGGTGGAATAAGAGGTCTGTGGGAGCCCAGAGTGGTTCTGGAGGGAGGTGGTGAAGAGTCTGTAGTCGAGGGGTGTGGGACCCTGGCAAACTGGTCTAGCTACTGGCTATGTGGTCACTCTGAGCTGCAGGCCTTTCATCTGTGAGCAGGGAGTGAATGGAGAACGCTCGGACACAGCAGAAAGAGCCCCTCCAGGTGCCTGACCAGTCCCCAGGCCAGAGTTGCCTGTGTTGGTCCTGCTGCTGAGGTTCTCCCAATTCCCAAGATTTCTTTTGTCCCCTGCACCACCAGGCTTCATTCATTCATTCATTCATTCATTCATTCATTCATTCATATGTCCTGCCCTGGCTCTATGGTAATTAAGTTTTGATTCTTGTTATTAGAACAACAAAAAAAGCATACTTAACATTTTTTCTCTTGAAGTTGGATAGTTAATCTAATACAATAATTGTGGACTCTTAGTGCCTTTTTCAATTTTAAAAGTGACGAGGGAACTTCTTGTCTTTTAATGAAATGCATGCAAGCCTCTGCCTGCTTGCATGTGAGGCAGCTGTGTCTCATCTTAGTGTCAGCTCCTATCTCTCCAGAGAAGTAGCTCAACGTGGAAGTTAGATTTATTGAAATGATCCTCATTTTTCTGAGCAGATAATGTGTTCTCGTGGCTAAGATCTTGAAAGGACTGGAAACCATCTATCTATAGTGAAACTTTTCCTTCCTGCCCCTGTCATCGATCTCCCCACACCTCTCCTTTCCATGCAGCCACCACTACAAGGGTAGTTTCTGGTGCAGAACCTTCTAGAAATTTTACTGAAGTGCAGGCAAATTCCTACAAATGGTTTCCATTCCTGCCTTTTCCAAGACTATAGTGTAAACTGTATTCCTGCACTTTGTCTTTTTTCACTAAGAAAGTTTTAAGTCAGATAAGAGATGATTTAAAGTAAACAGTTTAGCACCCATGGATGTGGGTATCCACTAGCGTCCTGGAACTGGTTCCTGTGATTAGAGAAGGTTGAGTGTGGTCCGAATCTCTTCTTCCCCCTGCTCTGGGCTCTCTAATTTTCTTTAGCCTTCTCTCTGCTCCCCCATGTTCTGCTGGTGACCCCCAGAGCCTGCAGGCACCCACCCCTTTGGTCTAGATGTGAAATCCCACCAATGCTGTGCTCCAAATCCTCCGGTGCAGCTGGCAGCCTCCATGGGCCTCCCTCACTGCTCCCGGCCACCGGGATGCCTTGCTGTTCCCGGACTTGGGCCTCGGTGTGTCTGTGTCTCCGGATCCCACACAACCTCTTCTGAGAATTCTTGCAATCCACATGGCTCAGTCCTTCATGCTGCTCAAGCTTCTGAAAATACCTGCTCTACCTCTGGAAGTCTGGCTGGACCCTGAAACCAGGAAGCACATTTTCATCACTGTCGACTGCCTCTATTTTGTCATATATTTTATCTTTGCCTAACAGTGTGCTATTTGTTTATTGCTACAGTGTGAGCCTTAGGGTGACAGGGAGTTGGATTACCAATCCTTGAGAGAGAGTTAGGGCAGAGTGGGACCCATGGACCCAGTACACTACTACCCTTTGCAGCCTGGGTAAAGGCAAAAGACTCTCCCTGGGATCCTGAGGCAGGAGATGGACACGTGAGGGAGACACCTGGGCCTTAGGGTAGCAACCCGTAGG